AACTAAGGTTTGGACTGAAGAATTGCTGTCTAGGTGGGTTACGTACGCGCTCTTGCCCGGTTGAAAGCAAAACAAAGTAATTGGGTAAAATGAGGGTTCTAAAATTCATCATAAATTTAAATGTACATTGGTACCTAAACAAATATGATCACTCAGCTGTCCAACCAATAATTGTTCAATTATTCAAGTCTAAATTACAATAAATGAGGAAGTTGACGAAGGATGACAGAAAATTACCAATCGCAACAAACAAATGCTGTTCTATCCTATCCGGATAGACCACGCACAGATTCGTTCAAAAGATAATATTTGGTTGATTTATGACATAAAGTGTTTCGAATTCTGGAAGAGTGCTACAATTCACAGTCAAAAAATGCACAATTCCAGTCGATACAAGTAACACAATCAAAAGGAGGAACAAACCAATATGGCTGCCCCCAAAACTAAGTATCAAGTAAAACAACATAAATACAGTTCGGGAGTAAACATGGAAACTTAGTGAAGGCGTAAGAGAATAAAAACTATGATAAAATACAAAAACTACCAATTCAAATGGAATAAAAAAGACCGACAAAATGTACAACTAAAGGAATCAGTAGAAACAAACTGCAAGTGTATACATGGAAGGATTTTCACACAAACGACATTCAACATGGATCTTACAGTAATTTCAACAGATGTGATCAGGAGTCATTTGAAGCTAGGCCACCATGGAAAACCTGGAAGCAGTGTCCGTCTCCCCTGGTAACAAGTCCTTCAGGCTTTTCGTTTGCATTGAGTCTGATGTGATGATTAGGACAAATATAGTAATAAAATTAGCATGGAAAATGGTTACCACGACACAAATATCTTTAGATAAATAATATATATATATATATATATATATATATACATGCATCAAACTTTTGTTACGAATAATCAGAAAGTCTACTTTCACGACTACGTGAAAAAAGTAAATTTAGTAGTAAAAAATGGAATCAAACTTGTAATTTACAGGGCTTAGTAGTTTTTTGCTTTTAGGTAACCGTTGTGCTATTGACAAAACAAACCAGGCTAGTATTGAATAAGTCTTTATTTAGATCTTCGCTCAGTCACAGATAGATCATATTTGCATCAACAAAAAATTCCGAAGGACAATCGAAGATGTGAGAACCGGGAGAGGTGCTGACATAGCTTCAGATCACCACCCAGTTGTAGCCAATTTAAAACTGAAGCTAAAGAAAAACTGGACAACTGGACAAACAGCAATACAAAGGTTCAATAAGCCCTTCCTTCGAGATACTGATAAAACTCAATGAATTCGAGATAGCTCTCAACAACAGGTTTCAAGCCTTACAAGATCTACTGAAGGAAGAAGAAGCTACTATGGAAGACAACTAGAAAGGCATCAAAGAAGCATTAACTACAACGTGTCTAGAGGTTATGGGCCCAAAGAAACACCATCATAAGGAGTGGATCTCTAAAGAAACTCTAGACAAGATCAAAGAAAGGAAGAACAAGAAGGCAACAATAAACAACAACCGAACACGAGCAGAGAAAGTTCAAGCACAAGCTGAATACACAGGAGCAAAAAAACAAGTAAAGAGGAGCATTAGAGCCGACAAGAAGAAATACGTGGAAGAACTAACAACGGTGGCAGAAAAAGCTGCTAGAGAAGGAAATATGAAACATCTTTACGATACAACGAAGAAACTATCAGGGAAATACAGTAAACCAGAGAGACCGGTCAAAGACAAAGAAGGCAAGTCGATCACTGAAATTCAACAACAGCGGAACAGATGGGTAGAATACTTCGGGGAACTCCTGAATAGGCCGGCTTTAATGAATCCACCGGACATCGAAGCAGCACACACAGATCTTCCCATAAACGTCAACACACCAACGAAGGAAGACATCAGAATGGCCGTCAGACAAATCAAGAACGGGAAAGCAGCAGGACCCGACAACATACCAGCTGAAGCACTGAAATCAGACATCGAAACAACCACAAGCATGCTTTATCTTCTATTCAAAAAGATTTGGGATGAGGAACAAGTGCCGATGGACTGGAAAGAAGGACACCTCATCAAGATTCCAAAGAAAGGAGATCTGAACAAATGTGAAAACTACAGAGGCATTACACTATTGTCAATACCAGGTAAAGTCTTCAACAGAGTGTTGCTGAACCAGATGAAGGATGCAGTAGACGCCCAACTTCGAGATCAACAAGCTGGATTCCGTAAGGATCGGTCGTGCACAGACCAAATTGCAACACTACGGATCATCGTCGAACAATCAGTTGAGTGGAATTCGACACTGTACATCAACTTCATTGATTATAAAAAACATTTGACAGTGTAGATAGGAGGACGTTATGGAAACTTCTTCGACACTACGGAGTTTCTGAGAAAATTGCCAATATTATCCGGAACACATACGATGGACTACAATACAAAGTCGTGCATGAAGGACAGCTGAAAGATGTATTCCAAGTAGGGACCGGAGTCAGACAAGGCTGTTTACCCTCTCCCTTCCTCCTTCTTCTGGTGGTCGACTGGATTATGAGGACCTCGACATCTGAAGGAAAACACGGAATACAGTGGAACAGCTCAGAATCAATTAGACGATTTAGACTTCGCAGATGACCTAGCCCTCCTATCGCATACACACGAACAGATGCAGATGAAGACAGCCAGTGTAGCAGCAGTCTCTGCATCAGTAGGCCTCAGCATACACAAAGGGAAAACTAAGGTCCTCAAATTCAAAGCGGAGAACAGCAATCCAATCACACTTGATGGCGAAACTCTGGAAGATGTGGAATCCTTCATATATCTGGGAAGCATCATCGATGAACAAGGAGGATCCGATGCAGACGTAAAGGCGAGGATCGGCAAAGCAAGGGTCGCATTCCTACAATTAAAGAACATATGGAACTCAAAACAACTTTCAACCAATATCAAAGTGAGAATCTTCAATGCGAACGTCAAGGCAGTTCTACTCTATGGAGCTGAAACTTGGAGAACTACAACAACCACAATCAAGAAAGTACAAGTATTTATAAATAGCTGTCTACGCAAGATACTCAACATCCATTGGCCGGATACCATCAGCAACAGCCTTCTGTGGGAGAGAACAAACCAACTTCCAGCTGAAGAAGAAATTAGTAAAAGACGATGGAAATGGATAGGACATACATTACGCAAATCGTTGAACTGCATCACGAGGCAAGCCCTAACTTGGAATCCTGAAGGGAAGCGGAAAAGAGGAAGGCCAAAGAACACATTACGTCGGATAATAGAAGCAGATATGAAAAGGATGAATTACAACTGGAAGGAGCTGGAAAGGATTGCCCAGGACAGGGTTGGATGGAGAATGCTGGTGAGCGGCCTATGCTCCTTCACGAGGAGTAACAGGCGTACGTAACTAAAGTAAGCAGTCACAGTGGAGCGTGGGATTACCTGTTCAGACAAACAAAGCCTCTTAACATTCAATATAAGGTAATAGGGAATATAATGCCTATACAAAATAAGGAAGTGAATGAATACTTGAACTCTACTGTTTTGATATATGCTTAGTTGTTTGAGGTAAGCACTTAACCAATCAACCTATGCTGTTACAAATAGTTAAATGTCACTTCCACAGTTATGCAACGGATACTATTCTTCTTAACAATGTGTATCTGAATTTACAAATAATTCCGTGGCTATTCATTTACTTCAGCTTCAATTGCGATATTCATCGATCCAGGCTTGGAGGGATGTCAGTTTTCAACGTGTTCTGAAACGGCGTCTCAACCGAGGATTTCGTCTTATAAACACATGTTGGTAGCCACATCGCTGATAAGTAGTGTATAAAGTGAGATTTTTGGCGAGATAAAATTGTGTATCAGTTGTTTTGCAATAACTTGTAAATTTCTATTGTAGACATCAAAGAGCGGAACTAACCGGTCTACATTTGATGCCCAGTGGACTGATTCAGTACTATCATTCGGTCGGACAACGGTCATGTACGTATTTAAATTCAAATGTACCACCTATAGCCTTAAATCCAAACGCGTTACTCACTCAAATACTAAGTACGGATATGCATTGACGTTTATAAAAAGTATAAAGCTTTCTTCATTGTTTTATATTTTTCGGGTATTCTTGTAAGTATTCCAGTTGCAAGTAAAGTTGCCAAAAGTATTCAAAGTTTGACTATACCTTTATCAGTAACACTTTTATAATCCAATGATGCCAACCCAGCGAAATCGGAAGTCATAGGTGAAAAGTTTCGAAGATATATTTGAAAGGCCATCGGTATCTCGAGAAGAGTTTGGGCTGAGCTAGCTAGCGGTTGTAGGAGATGCCTAGCATGGCATAATCACTCGTGATCCGGTGGAGACGCATGACAGGAAGCTCACTTCCGGGTGAGTACAGCAAAACTAACAAGGTCAGCATCAAGTGTTGAGGCCTTACAGAACTATTTACCTTAGGGATTTATTTACTGCTGCACAACCCACGCAGGTGTTCAATGTGACAGTTATTGGACTTAGATCACGGAGTGCACAGAAACAGGGAGAGTAGGAAGAATTTCGCTCGATTACAGATTAGCTGACGTGGTCTTCATTTCAAGATTTTCAAAAGCTTATCAAATCACACTAACCCTGATATTCATTTGTTGATTGAATATTCTTACCATATGGCTGTCACTGTTAAGATTATTTAAATATTCTAAGAATCAATTGCTGAAATTTTTTTTACACAGATAATTTAATATACGTCCGTGGACATTCTGTGAGCGCCTGGAACTAAAAATTGAATTCTTTTTTTCGACCGTTTACTGACAAAAGACTGCTTTTATTATACAGTCGAACAAAGATACTCTGAGTATACACTACATGTTTTTATCAATGATGTCTATTTTACTTAAGTCTTCTTTGTTAGGTCATTTGTTTTTACCAGTCACAGTTAAGCTACTATCCAATACCTTAACTGTTGTAGCGGTAATTTGAAGACAGCATTAGCTTGTCGTCATACAAAATGAAGAAAGCTGTTCAACAGAGTCGTTTCACCAGGTTTAAAAGGACTCTCTATAATCCAGAAAAACATGAAATTTTAGGGAGGACTTGCAGAGAATGGGGTTTGTGTTCGGTCTTTGTACTATAAAATACTTCAGTTCTGATTTTCATATTTTACGTCGTGGCATACACATTCTTGGCTTTATTCTTCGTCGGTATGCTATCAGTTTTTCTGTATGGATACGTCAGTAAAACAGTTCCAACACTCACTGGGGAACAAAGCATTTTGAGATTTCAGCCAGGTTCGTGAATTATTTACTTGTTTCCTAAATATCACATATGTGATTGTAATGTGGTTCATGACCTATTCATATTGTTGTTGCTACTCAAAAATTTAGAGAGATTTAATCCATCAAAATCTTCAAACACCCACCATTATTTACATAGTATAAAATGTGTTTTAATATTTTATTTTTCTCAAGAATACAAGGGAAGGTGCTTTTCAGCGTTCCCTTACATCTTTCTAAAACATCTCCCGTTGTTTTAGCACAAAACCGAGCACCTCAATAACGGTAATAGTTTGCCATTCCTTTTTAATGTGACACTGAATTTGGCTGATCATAGATCATGCAGAATTATAAGTGTTTAGTTTATGACCCTGGTGATGACATGTACCAAATATCGTGATGCTACAACAGTCAGACATAATAATTGTATTTATATATTCATAGCATCAAACTATTACTTCTTCTGTCATCTCATTTAACGTCACGATATCAAGGGATATTAAAAAATCATACATTATAAACAACGCACTTTAAAATGAAAGAAATTATTCTAGTTTCGATCAGATTAAATGATGAAAGTTTCCTGAAACTGTGATAAAACAAATGAAACCTCTAGGCCGTGCGTAAAAAATTAAATAGACTTCCATGTCAAATTATTTTGGAATGTTAAGTACTTCAACCCAATACCTAAAGAAGTACTCTTTCCGAAAGACTGCCCAAAACGCTTGCCAATTTTAGTAACAATGCTGCGGAAATACCACGGAGATCTAAGATACTCAGTGACTTATTTTTATTCTTATCTGTCATGCATAAAAATATGATAAACGCAAACATCCTCTATATTTTAATGTGCCATTACTAAGTGGTGGTTCGAAAAACTTTTGTCTTGGATTCATTTGTGGTAGTTAGCATGAAACATTAATTAATACTATGTAAAATGATTCGTTGTAACCGCCAACTAACAGGCAATATCGATTTCCAAAGTAATGTACAGTTATTTGCATTGTTACGGCATGGTTGCTTTAGAGTGGAGGTCTAGACAAAAGTGCCTTTTAGAAGAAAAAACTGTTACTTTATTATACACTGGTTAGTTAATGTATAGTACCTAGCATAACCTTTTAGGTTAAACAGTGAGAAGTTTATGGTTAGTTTTTCTCGCATTATATTCAGTTTAATATTTGCTTACATCCTATATGAATACTATTTCAATCTGATATGAAAACCGCCAAATTTTTTTCAGAATAATTTTAACTTTGCCAGTTTTCCTAGTCATAAGCTTCGGTTGTTATGTTAGGGCATTATTACACGATCACATATGCTGATTTTAAAATTGTACAAACGTAGGAATTTTTATCTTTCTTTTTTAATTTTAGAAGACATCTTTAGCAGATGTATTTAGAGCAAATAATAGTGTTGACAGCAACATATGGTATGGAAATCATAAAACATGTACAGAATGTGTCTAAATAGCTACAAACGAGGCAGCTTTTGAAAACAAGTAAATCTTTGTGTGCGCATGAAGGTAGTATCAGCCACTGATGAATGAGATGAGGTTCAGAGTAGTTAATGTTACATGAACGCAAAATAGCACTCCATACTATGATGGTACACGATACTCGCTATCAACAGTCGCGTGTAAATAATTAGAGCAAGCCTGCAGCAGGTGTGATGAATAACATGGCTGGCAATACTAACAATATGATGGAATATCGAAGTTAATCAAAAAGCTGTTTACATGTTTTTAGTTTAGTAATTCAAGTCAAACGATATAATTACCCAATGCAAAAGAAACCATCATAGTAGCCTTCTGAAGGGGAACTTGCAATAAAAAAATGAATTAGATTGCAAATACAATTATTTTGTAAGAGCTTGGTTCACTGATAATACATCTGTTTTTTTTATAAAACGTATAAGCTTTTAGATAGAAAAAAAATAGGAAAGATTGTACTTTATTGAAATCATTCTTCACTATACAGTAAAAATAACCCAATTTAATATTGTGCTCTGGTAAAAGATTCTCTATGGGAAATGCTTTTAAGCCTCTCTTTTTAATTATTTAAATCTCAGAACAGGAGGAACCAAACATTTTTAAAAATATTTTTAGGAACTATTAACAGTTGTATACCCTGGAACTCAAAATGATTGACAAGTAGAAAAGTTTTAGAGATCTGTGCTTCTTTGCACGGATGTGGACTCTCGTTTACAGACATGTTATTTTAACAAAAAAGGAGAAATTATAAGTCATATGATTTATATTTGACAAAATAACTTTTGCTAATTATTCACAAGGTTTTAGATTGTTACTTTTACCTATTTTTGTAACATATTCAATATATACACTATTAGCGCTACTAGCAGTTTCAAAGACGCTAAATAACCTAGCGTTTCCCTTTTTCAAAAGTTCAGGAAAGAATAACGAAAAAAATAAAGGATAGTAGATGGCTCACAAGAATTTGAGAACATGTCAAGTCTTTGTACAGCATATTGAAAGAAAAACGTTCCTTAATATTAACAAAATATAAGATAACTAGGCAATATTGGGATAGAAATATATATCAAGATGGGTATTATTCGATATAGCTTTTTAGTAATATTGTCAGCAGTGTGCACCTCATAAAATGTTGATGTTGTGATGGGATCCGTTCTGCTTCTTAAGCTAAAAGTGGTGGTTTAAAGATTAAAATCATCGAGTGTAAGATCATTTAACGTACACTAGAAGCTCAATAATTTCAACCCAGCCAGAAGAGATAAACGATGTTTCATGAACCAGTAATATCTAAATAATTGAGGAAAGTAACATTAGTAGAAGAAAATGTGATTTTTTAAGAGAATAAAGTAAGGATACGACAAACTCTTTAGCCATAATAACTTTGGTACGTAAGTGACAGAACATCTTTCTATATATAAGATTAGTCATGCATTTTCAAAGTATTAAAACTCTGTCATATCGTTATTTTATCTTGGTGTTCCAGCTGACTTAAGTTTTAGTAGCATAGGTCTAGAAACAAAGTCGAACTTTACATTTAGCTTAGAAATTGGCATTAACTATATCTTTCATCTTTTTCTTAACTGTCGCAACCTACTTTGATGTAACATAACTACAAGATTCTTATTACTCGTTTAGAAGTTTAACCAGATCGATTTGGATCATTATAATTCCCCACTGAGATCCAAGTATGAATGATTGTAGTTTTTTAATGACTTCAATAATTTTTTACGGGTCAAAATTCACCATCGTTTCATCAGACACTCATTTCGATAATGAAGCAACTTTGGTTCTCTTTTATATACACGATAAAAGATCTATTGAAAAAGATTGTTGGGCGATTTTCTTCATTGGTGGAATATCAGAACACTTATTGAAATGAGTATTTAAAACATTGTGATGAGTATAGTGATATTAAACATATAAAACCACCATTTTTAGTAGATCTTAAGTTATGTTGTTTCGTTTCCCTAGACGGTGAAAAATACATTAACATAGGGTTGCTGACTTGCACAAGACGTGCTTAAACAAATAGGCTTCAGAATGCATGTAAACACCAGTCTACCTTATTACTGTAAGTTACTTGAATAATCTGCACATATTTAATGAATTGATACAGGATAAAGTTTTCCTAAGTCTGCTATGTTGTTTCATAAATCATTTGTAAGCAAACTGCATTATATGGTTGGAAAAATATTTTTCAAACTGGAAGTCTTGCATTTTTATTAGTTCACAAATATTACTCTCCTCATTAAATAAAACAATTAAACGTGTCTAAGCTTACAATATTAATTAGATAGGATTCAAATAAGCAGCGAAATAGTCGAAACTAAACGCTGAACTATGTCCAAACCATCTGGAATGCAGAAACGTATAAAAGGAAGTTTAAGAACATTTATTCAAAATAATCAATAAAAGTGAGACACAAAATTGTTTGTGTCTTTAAGCTGGTTTCAGCATGGACGAGGTGTCCTTTATGAATTAAAGAGACAAGTAAAATTTGTTTCAAGCAAGGACAAACTTAATTACAGTATCAGGGCAATCCGCACAAGATTCATATACGCCGAAAAAGACTGATCAGTTGCAATCCTGAAAATCTAAAAAAAGGTTCAGACAGTTAACATATATGAAGTAAAATATGTGTTAGCAGTTACCACTCTCTCTATAAACCATTAAACAATACCTCGGCCTACGGCCCAAAAGTTTTTCATTGTTCCCATCAATTGGTGATTATTCATATGAATTTTCAAAATAAAAGGAATAACGAAGTGTCTTAAAGTGGTTCCATTAAAACTAACTTCGTTCACGATGTCAAGCATATTTCTTTTCGAAGCTAATAATTTCATAATGGGCTTTTATTTTTCTCACTAAAAGCCAGATATGCGTGTTTACTATGTGATTTTTAAAGCCAGATGCACGGTACAATGATATTAGATTTTTAGTTTAAGGAGTTTGACGTTGGAGAATTATTCTTGTAGTTGTTAAGCCAGGCTTTATAACTTTAGAGAAGTACCGGTGTATTTCTGTGTAAAGTTCACTTAAGATTAGCAATATTATCTTTCATTACTCTTGTAATGAACGTTTTAGATGATTTTAGAAAACCTTTTATTGAAACATCTGGTTAAATCTCACAAAAGCTTTAAATGCTGAGGATTCATAATGGTTAAAAAAGATATGATTGGGAATGGCATTATTTTTTCCCTTTACCAACTCTTGGCAGTTTCTCACAATGGATAAAGGGCATTTTAGAAAACTCATGTTATTATTGAACTGAAAAGAAAACCATATATCCTCTAGTCTTTTTTTCAGTTTCGGTGTTCATGTTTATGACGATAGATTTTTATAGCTTAGAAATCAGTTTTTACATCCTACGTTTACGTATTAAACTGTTAGCATTTCCAAATGAAACCCATATAGCTATCAAGAATGACCAGATCTCCTAGCACACCATTTAAAATATAAAAAAATCAAACTTCAACCTATTTGAAGTTAGTTAGCCGAATTATGTGAAGGAAACTCAATCTAACATTGTGTCTGATTATATCAATAATTTCACGTAATAACTAAAGGATAACTAGTTCAAATTTCATTTCATTTCTTGGCATCGTTTTTCTTTTGTCTAGGAATAGAACTTGCTGCAAGACCAAACTCTTTTAATACGTTTATCCATGTTGCAACTTTCCAATCCACAATCAACCAACCGTATATTAATAAAGTGAATGAACTGTTTAGTAAATATGGCTCGAAAGGTGTAAATGAAGAGTGCAGTGGACCTGGTTTGCATCCACAGAATCCAGATGTCCCTTGCAGCTTTGATCTCAGTGTTTTGGGTGAATGTCAGTCAACTGAGAAAACTATATTGGAGGGAAAACTATGTCTTTATTTGAAAATAAATCGAGTATGTTTAGATGTCCTTCACGTCTTTCACAAATATATCAGATGTATTTATGGAATTTCATATTATAGTTACACATTCTTACCCATAAATGGCATGATGTGTGATTTATCTGTCGTTGGTATTCATAAATTTTAAGCTGTTTCTAGTCAAAAAAGGAAAGTATGAGTTGTTTTGATTAGTCAGATATACCTAGTTTACTTTACCTTTATATGAATAACCGATATATTCTTTCATTTTCTTCATTACAAAAGATTCATTAAGGTTGAGGAACTAATCTTTAACCAAGCACCTTTAAATCATAATCAACAATCTCTCTGTATATTAGGTAAACCAATTTAACTGTTTTTCAGTTACACTCTACTAAGCAAATATGTCTTTGTATAACTCTGTTTATACTTTAGATCTACGGTTGGTTACCTGATTTGGAAGATCCTAAATCGATTCCATCACCTGCTATCGAATGTGGAGGTACAGTAAGTGATACTAACTTTTTTTACACCCTTCCTTAATATATCATATCAACTAGGGGAATACTAAAATGTTCTAGTAGTAATATAACCATACTACATGTCAAGTTGTTGGGATAAGAATATTTTATACGGAATTCTTATGGTCATATTTATATTAATAATAGATTACTATAACTTCCAAGCAAAGTTCTGGGTACTGATGGTTATATATATATATATATATATATATATATATATATATATATATATATATATATATATAGCAATAATTGTATTAAGTACTCTTCATTACAATGGACATTCTAATACTGCTACTTATAAAATATCATCCTCCAAAAATATCTGATGCTTAAATTAGCTTAAATCAGGTTACAGTTAACATGCTTAATAAGTCTATGAATAACTGACCGTAAAGATTATTAAATATATGATGAATATAAAGAAGTGAACAATTTTTTACAGTTTGTGATCCACCTTATTCATAATTCATTATCTCTTCTCAATACTACTACTACTACTACTACTACTACTACTACTACTACTAATAATAATAATAATAATAATAATAATAATAATAATGGTAATAGATGAAGGCAGCTCATTTATGAACTTATCCTATAAGTTATTAAAAAGAACAAATTATGGATCTTTAGAATGCAACAAGTCTACTGACATTAGGCAGGGTACCCAATAATCCGTGACCATTTTCAAGAATTTCACTTTCATTATATCAGAACCTGAGAGTGAAACGTAAAAAGACTTATCACTAGACACCTGGTATTGATACCAATCATGTGTTCAGTATCAGCATGAATGATGGTTGCAGGAAGGAGTACTTGGATTTGTTAATGTGAATAATTTGGCTCACTTCGAATCCATCTGGCAAATAGAATAAAACAGACTAAATATATTATGCCTCAGTACTTCGAACAGATTGGAATTTTTAACCTGGTTGCTTTGATTAGTGTATCTCTAACGAAATAAGGCTTCTTGATTATTTGAAAATAATTACGAAATTTTGTTCATGATCTCATTTGATTTTAAGTTAAAGTATGATATTTTTATGCTCTTACAGTGTTGTGATATTACCTGCAGATGATTTGTGCTATATAACAAGCCAAATATATCCCTGTAATGTTGTTCACTAACTGAGATCCCATCAGGATTACCTGTCGTTTTAATATTTATAGCTTGTGATTTTTACGTTATGCCCAAAAAGAAATTTATTCCCAGAAGACAATTGTAATCTATTACTAATTATATGTTTATGAAACTTAAAATTTCAAGGATTATAAAAGTTTTAGAGCTGATTTCTTTTATCACAAAGATAACTTCTCAAGAAAATTATTTACTTAAAATTTCACATAACAGATTGAATTTGACTAGAAAATAATTGAAAACCAGGAAATATGAACAGAGTTATTTCATCCCACAATATGATGTTTCTGAACTAGATATTGACGACCCCACCAAGGATGATCCACAAAACTTTTAAGCATTACGGTGAGCGCTTTACCTTCAGACCACAGAGTTCCCATATTATGGTTTACATTTCTGAATTCAGTTGATTTGGGATGTTACATAATCACCATCCGCTCTCATTGGTGAAACTTGTTTCAGTTTGATCATGACGAAATCCCACTGGCCATGACTCCTCACCAGAAATCCGGGAATTATTTCTTGACGTTATTCACTGGGAAAAATACATGATTGCTTGATGCTAAGTCTGAAGGTCCTTAATTCGATCCCTTGTGAAATTTATGATTGTATACTGTTGTAGAGTCTTATTATAAGAGAAATTAGATGTTCATTTCCTCCTGGTTTCCGATGGTGGTTTAAACTTTACAATCTTTATAACACTCAGTCAAAAAAGACAATCTCGCTAAATGGACGTGTTCTTATTAATCACAAGGAGAAAATTCAATTGACTAAACGGTTAATTCTACTTAAGCAAAAACTTTGAGTCTTTGAGCAAGTGTAATGAACGAGAACTTAGTAAGAACAAATCAAACTCAAAATAAGAAAACAATACAAGAATTACATTATTTGCACATCTTCCTTGAGTTGTCCTATATGAAATCCATTGTTCTTTCATTTCTGTTATTGTTTCGATGGTTTTCAGATCTCTTCTCTTTTCTCTTTATTTTCTTCTTCTGTCCGTAAGAATCCTACCTTTAATTTCTTTTACATACTACTTATATCTGTCTATACAAATGGAACACAGCACATAAATGAAACAGTTTAAAGTCAATTAAAGTATCCTTAAATCATGTTGAACAATCGTTTTGACAGCATACATAGTGTTATGTTGTAAATGATAGAATAGATAAATGATGCAGTGGAGAGGATAGTTTCTGATACTATTATTCACAGTGCATACTAATGTTGTTCAGTGCAAAACGTCTGATGTCCAAACAAGACATCATTGTCGTGACTTAATAACTGACAGATATTAGTCAAGCTGAAGATATTTCAGAATCACAGAACTATATGCAATAAAAACAACGATATTTAGAGAGACGTTAATAAAACTGGCAAATAATTGGAAAACCGATGTATAAGTGAATTTTTGTAAATTTAATTTGACATAATGTTGAAAACAAAAATAATAAAACTTCCGTCCAGAATAAAAAAATTTCACTGGTTTTCATACTTTAAAGTCACAAAACCCATTGTACTGAATACAGAAGAAATCATTTTCCTACGTATAGAGTTTGTCATCATTCTAAGTGAAAAATTATTGGAAATATTTACCTACGAATCTACTTAAAAAACCAATACTGCTCACATCTTTCATAGTTTGTAGTGAGAAAGAATAAAACATTCTATACAAATATTATTATTCTTACAAGATTAGTATGTACTTTAATTCAATAATCTAGGCAAGAAATAGTCTGTTTCATCATCATAGAGAAGACATAACATCATTTCAGTGCAGCGACGTATTTGCAGAGTAAACCATTGTGAACTAGTTTCTCCTTCATCTATTCAAAGTTACCTTTACAGGGAAATCAAGTTATCAGTGATGAACCAGATGAAGGCACCCTTGGGGTATATGATTACTCAAATAGACGTTTGTGTTCACAGTTGTAGAGTTTGATTGTGCCTCGTTGATACATATTGCTGAGTGTGTACATAGACAATCCATTGAGTATCCGTAACAGTCCATGAAATGTTTTGCTTAGTTGTGGGTAACCTAGAGAATAATCAGTCTGAATCGACATAAACGACTTGATTCATAGGAAATAAATTAATCTTATGGTTGAAAGCTAATCGTAGAGTTTTGAAAAAAACCAATCAGTCGTATAAATAAGATGTACGTACTAAGTATTATTACTTTTTCTTAATCACATGTCAGTAATTTCACCCAACAGTCAGCTTACTGACTAATGAAGAACATAAAAGTCTCAAAAAAAATAAATAATCACCCTAGTTCAGTACGTTTTAGCGACACTACTAATAACATTTTTTAAAAAGGATAATATTTTTCAGTTTAGTCCCATAATTATGAAGAGTTTTTATTGATTTGCCAATGTTGCTGTTTTAGAATGAATTCGATAAAGAATCCCTTGGTATTGTAAGATACTTTCCAGAACACATAGCACCAAATGGGAAGAAGTAGTAAGTGTTTACGTATTATACATTTAAATCGTATACAATTGCTTTTAAAATTCAATATTTCAAATCATAAGCGAAGTTATCAACGTGTTTCTATAATTAATGAGACAATATAAGGAGAACATTTTAGTGCAGATTGGTATGTATGTTTTGACTAATGTTACTAATCCAATCGAAGAAAAATAATTAGTGTGAATTATACTTGCATGTCGATAATATGGAATTATGTCGGAAATATGGACCACTGGGTGCCAACTCAGTGGTGTGAAGAATCGAGGGTTTTGGGTTTGATTTCTAATGGTGTCAGAGATGAATACTTCTGATGAGTCTTATGCTAGAATGAAACAGCTGTTTAATGCTCTCTGTTTTTTAAGTTGTCTAGCACAGATTAATTCATTATCTTAGTATAATTCAACAATCTTACCAAGCTCCATACTACTTATTAAAACGTTTGTTTAAAAGATGCCAAAATTACCAGATAAATAACTTGTTAAACAAGTATACATCACCCAAAATAAACATAGAGATGGATGAATGCTGTAGCTTGAATTCACTCACGATTCATTAACTATGTGATATTACCTCTTCTTAAATACAAAGTCTAGGATACAACTAAATATTCTTAGATTTATGCTTTACTGTTTGCCAATAGTTTTTATGATCACTTGTTTATCTCAAATTCATGAGAATCTGTGTTTGACAGGATATATAGTTGATTTTCTTAAGATTATCAAACAATGATATAGCCAGATTGTTTGATCTTAGTTTTTTTAAAAAAGTGATATTTGTGCATACTTCATTTCAATTGCTTACTATTATTCAACATATTAGTGATTAATTAGTTTTTTCCCTTTACATCTGTAAGATGAAAAATAACTTTCCTTTGATATGTATCAATTCGAAACCAATTTGTTTCATTTAACTAAAATTATGATCGATTTATTCTTAATTCTATTCCAATCTGAAATGTGAACTATTTTAAATGATTATCATCAGCAACTGATAAGCGATTGTTTCCAATTGGTTAATGAATTGATTTCTTTCTATTAATTAGTTTGTAATTGTTCTCGAAAATAAAATTTATTATTAAAGTTTTACAATTATTTCTTTTTTTTCTTAATTTCTTCTGTTATAGTGGTGTCATATCAAACAATTATTTTCCCTATTTAAGAATGAATAATTATCAAGCACCATTAGTTGCTGTACAACTCTCTAATATAACAAGAAATACTGTTGTCCTAGTTGAATGTCGTTTGGTTGGTTTAAAAAATTCTATCGGTGGAACAGGTTTTGAAGTTTGTGTTGATGACAAAGATTCAGGAAAATAAATTATTCTTTAATCTTTTGCAAAACATAACATTTTTAAAAAAATCTGTTTTTACTATTAAAGAAAAGAAAATAATTATATCGTTTATGTGTGTTCAATTTATGTGTTCCTTAATATTTTTTTATCTTAAGAAAACACAAATACATCTAATTTAGCCTCTTTAGGATATTCTTCAGTTTACTTCTTATGTCTGAAAAAATGTACTGTCTTTTGGTTTTTTTTCTTACTCTTCCCATTTACAATTAAGCCAGTCATTCATAGTGCTCATTATTCATATTAATTATACTATACTGTATTATCAAACATTGTTTAATTTATACTATTACAATTGTTACCATTACAACCATTAATACTGTTACTTCTAGTTGAGACCTTTAATTGACTTTTCTTATGGTTAATTAATTCTTCAAAAATTAAGTTTCAGGTGCCTTACGTTTTAATTATTTTCTGACTGAAACATTCTTTAAGTTTTCTTCCTATTCTATGTCTTTTTACTTTCTTTAATATTTTCTCAACAACAATAGAAGGTAACAATAAAAAAAGATTATGATGACAAGGAAGAAGATTCTTATTCAATAGTTTATGTATTCATTTTATAATTTGAACCTATTTAGTGTCCTTATTATCAGTTTCATTATTGTTATTAGATTTAATATATTTCTATAACACGTAATACATGTTATACAACTACTGAAAACTTTCGCTAATTAAGTATATAATGGATTATTGGTAGATGTAGCCAAAATGTATTTACAGTAAAACAAATATATATTTAATAGTATATTGATATTGTAACCAATACTATTGCTACCGCTATTTTTATTAGTACTATCATTACTACTAATAATACTAATACTACTACCTATACTTTTACTATTCATATTAATAATATACGATTCTTAACGTTTTGTTTACGAATATAATTCAATTGAAAATATCTTAAAATTAAGTTAGTTTTATTCATATAAGTAAAATAGTGTTTGTGTGCATGACTACAATTTTGGAATAAAATTAGGATTTTCAAATTGTGTCATTTGACTACTTGTCTTAATTTTAAGTGAAAGTTTTAAGTAATGCGAATACATTTTCGTCATCTTATCAAATATTTATAAATAAATTAAAAAAAAACAGATTTACTATGTTTAACATATTTGATAGTACAGTCCATAGTTGAAAAAAGGAGATTTTTTTTATTAAATAACCGTCTGGTAATAAAATCCAGTAGGTTGTTGTTTCACATTTATTTAATCCAAATCTTTATATGTTTAGATTATTACTTACTTAACATAGATAATCAATAAACTTTATTAACATTAACATATACCGTCATATTCTATGAAATGTTTTCGATCTATCTTAAGTTAATGAAATAGATTATTGATTGATTACATATTGAATGATTCAGCTGAATAGTATCAACTACTACTGTTACTACTAATACACAATCAACTACTGCGATGAACAATTGTAATGACCATTTCAAAAATTATATGAGGTACATTCTCAACAACAACTATCTCCAATCCTATGCGTTTTAGCTACGGTATTGACAACTGTATAGTTGGATTTAAGTATTGTTCAAAAACTTATGTCTCACTTTACACTTATTTTCAGATTTAAAGTATGGTTTTGGTGGCTAAGATCGTGAAAAATAGGTTATTATTTAAGGTTATTTTATGTAAGTTAGTTCCATTTGAGATGAATGAACATTAGGATTTAAAAGTAACTCGAAATCGGATTATTTACAAATCCCATAATTTATGAGTCACTGATCTAACAGATTAACAATAATGCATCCTTATCTGATACTACCTAACCTCTCTTTAAGTTATTTATGGATGAAGGTAATGGCTCCCTAACTCATATCTGTGTTAGTTAGAGAGAATAGGAATGGATTATGTAAAAGTCCTCTCTGTGTAACAATTACCTACAAAACTCTCTATAAGTCTGAAAAAATGCTTTATCAATACGCAATACCTACACAGTAAGAATTCGAGGAGAAACGAATAAAATAACTGGATGTCACACTAGTTGTAAAGAAGGTCTACCCGATATCGATGAGGAAAGGTACTAATGTTGGTAAATGTTTTGGTTACGTATTATCAACTGTTTTAGGAGGGAAATAGCACAAACAATTTACAATCTTAACAGTTATTTTTATTATTTACCACTGTTATTTATTGTTTTTGACATTAAATTTCATTTTCTACACAACAAGCTGTCAGATCTTCCCTTTATTTTTCGGTTTCTTTTGAATATAATGTTTTGTCGCGTTCTGTTGAATAGATTCAATGATTTTATAACTGATCTTTGTTAATTTAGTTTATTGTTCTTTTGCTTCTTTGATAAATCATCTATTCACGATTTGACTCATTGATTCAAATAGGAGACTTAGAGACATAAAAAGTCAATTACCTGAGTTCATTATTTGATTAGAACAGAACTATCACTAATATTAATAATAGCTTGATTTAATACTATAAGTTTTGTTACAGTAAGGAACTGTCAGTATTAATTGTACAATGTTACAATAAATATAGGTTAATTTATATATTTTTACAGCTGGAAAATAGGTAGCTCAACTGTCTCAGCACGCAATCGAGCGTTTCAGATATCATCATGAGAAAGCGTTGATAAAAATGATACTATTTTCAACAAAATTAAATTATTACGAATTATGTTTTAGATAATAAAATAGCTATTCAGCTGTTAATTCGTTATTTAACTCATTATTTAAATTACCAGCCCAAAAAATTTCTTTTCTATAGGGTTACCAATCCATTCATATGTTAATTGGTCTTGTTAGTAGTAAGCTGACTTTTATATGGCTCAACAACTACATTTGTTACTGTGAATGGGAAATTTTAAAAGAGTAATACTAACCGGAATCCAAATGATCAATACTGAAACACATGAATAATGACAAATATCTTCTTATCTCAACTGAAAGTTTATTGATGAAATGGAATACTTAAGTCATTCGCAAGCCACCGCATTTCAGTTAGTCTCTAAATATATTTAAATATTTGCTTATCACTGTTCATGTTATCGAGCTTCTCTAATACCCGAGCAAGGATGTTTTTTATCCAACTTGTGATTTCTACCAAAATGAAATTTAAAGACATTCTTATGCGAGTGAAGTTCTTCACAAATTCCAGAATATTTTCTAAGCTGACTGATAGAAAGTTAGTCGATTTTATATCGGTTATTAATGAATTTCATCATACACAAAATTATTAAATTGACCTTCTTTATTATCAAATAATAAAAAATATTTTCAATACATAGTAATTAATACATTATTTATTTGTCATGTGACTGAATGAAAATTTTCACCTTAACTATAAACATGATTTTTAATCTGAAAATGCATAATGTTTAGTAGTTAATACTTGGCGGACCCATATATATATATATATATATATATATAATTTCCGGCAACACATGGCGATTTGTTTAGCTGTATAAGGTCAAAATGTTGCTTGTTATATTGTCAACGGTTTTAATGCAGTTCAGTGCCAGTGATCCCATACAACAAAACAAAACTTGCATATATATATATATATATATATATATATATATATATATATATATACCCTACAGCACTGATGTGTATGTAATAACCGCACATCACATTCGTTCACACGTTTTGTAAAGTGTAGCAACAATAAAAATTTATTTATAATGGAATACCACTGAAACATAGAGTTTGTTAATTAAAGTTCGAGTGCCCAGTTATACAATAATTAGAATTTATTCATATGTACAAATGATAAGTAAATTTATAGGAATATGTCGTTTGTCCCATACTTATACCGATAAGTGTGATTATATCTTTCCATACTTTAAGAGAAATAGTTATCTCATATGATATTAGGGTTAAAGAATTTATCAAACCACTTAAATTAGGATTTCACATTAATTTTTAAGATCTTAGTTTCAATCAAATTAGTTTTTTAAAGTCTTCTCAATGTTGCAGTAAGGATTAATGAGATTTTAAAAAATATGTTATGCTCATAAGAGGTTACTTGATTTGTATCATATTAACAGAAAAGCAGACATTTACTAAAAATATGTGGTTATCTGAATCTCCTAAAATAAATGAAGTGGAGTTTATTACAACCAATAATTTTGAGATATTATAGATTGTTGATTTGAAGACTTTTTCAATGTGTTTCACACTTATAGATCAAACACTACTTTACTATTCGTAAAACAACAGAGTGTTTACACTAAATATGAGCTTGTCCACAGCCTACGAAAGGATGGAAAAACGTGCCTTTTACTAGTGAATCTTAATTTTATCCACCATTAATTTACAGCTTACACATAAATATACAGTTTGAAAATGACTGTTATGGAAAACACAGATTGTCAGCTCCTAGATGAATTTTGTAGCTTAATAATGAACATTGATACAGCAAAAAAAAGTTGTGATTTATAAGTGTGTGTGTGTAAACTGCTGTCAAAGAGACAAATATATATAGTTACTGTCAGTTTCATTTATTCATTCTTTTGGGAACATTATCCAAACATTCATTATAGTATTTACAAAACGAAATCATCACATGAATTTCCTCTAGTTTAACGTAACAGGTTTACATGTCATTTTTATCTATTTGAATATCTGAATATCTACTAAGTAGTTTTACAACATAATTAGTCTAGTGAAATAAATACTTCTTTTTAAAAAAAAACTATCTTCAAGTTTAAATTCACTTGGTATTGTTTACTTGAGTTTTTCCATTGATGTTTAAGAGTGTAATTGATCAATCTCTTATTGGCGTATGGTATTGGGTTCGAGTCCCAGAGCGAACATCAACTCTTAGATGCAGGTACATCTAGCTGACCAGTCGCAAATAGGACGAAACGCGTGTCTTAAATTCCACTGCTAGCCAATATCCATCTTTGCTTATCTTCAAGTTTATTAAACAGTTCTGATAAATACTAAATTTATTTTTATTTACTTATAATTAACATTTGACCGAATAACCCAAACTATTCATAGTTTCTACATTAAAAAAATATCAAATTTTACTGTAACGCGGAAGTTATTAATTACAATACTAGTGTTCGATCCAAATAACTAATTGCTACTAAATTTTATATTTTCAGTCATATACAGTGAATAAATTTATATGAAGCAATGAAACAAT